AAAAGGAATAGTAAAAAATATTGTATTTCAAATAATTAATTACTATAGTAGATCTAACAGTGCAATTAAAAAAATTTTGTAACATATTTAATAATATACTTTAATTCACAGTTTTGCATTATATTGATCCAAATTTTCATTTTAATAATTTTTTACATAAAGTTCAGAATGTGTCTATTTTTAGATTCGTACCAATAATATAATACAAGTAGAAATTTTGAAATAAAGTAACTGTACTTCAGAATATCCTTCACATTGGATCGTGTATATTCTTAAAGAAAAATGATATACGTAAAAATTTGAAACTGAAGGAATCATTGTATACATCACACACAGACAACTGTAAATCCATTGCACGTGACTATAAAATAGGAGACATATGCTGTATACAATAGCTGATAAAAATCAAATATCGTGTTTAATACTCAATTGAATTTTAAATTGAATATGGCGGGAATTTTTACTAAAGACAACTGCTAAAAAATGTATTGAAATATTTTATCGTTATTTATCAGCATAATCAAAAACAATTAGAAAAATCGTACATTTCTGTGACAAACCATGGTGCTTGTATGTACGTAAGTAAAACTATTAAATTTGTTAAAGTTGAATTTCAAACTTGACAAACAGTGCAAGAATACAGAATATTTTATGTACATATAACAATTAATATTTCGTTAATTATTACATGTAACCGAACAAAGATGAGGATCACTGTTATAGACATTAAATTTATCAACAGTGTTGTGATTTTCAACGTTGGATGAAGCAGATTCTCGGTTCTATCTATGGACTAAGATATTTTTTCAAATCACAGAGTGTGGATAGCTCTGCAGGTCCTTCGTCGTACGCAGCACACGAAGATTAATACGTCCAAAAACGTAATAAGCCTTTTTGTTTAAAACTGATCCGTTTATGAGACGGAGCAACTGGACTAGTCTTATAGACTAGCTTGCGGTATGCGCAAGCGCCATGGGCCCAGTGGCCCTGGACCTTTCCGGGAACCGGTCCAATTTAAAAATATCACCTTTCCTTATTATCTATGATTTTAAACAACATTTACGTTCATGAAGAAAATGTACGTTGTTTATTTCTTAGTTTTTGCGAACTAAAATAATTATTACATGGAAAATAAATGAAAATAAGCAAATTGTTTAAAAATGTTATGAAAAATTAGTATTAAAATGAATTAAATAGTTCAACAAAAACGTTCTGCATGTTCCTTATGATCGTAATGTTTTTTTTATATGGGGTACTATCGGATCGGTTCCCGATTCACGTATATAGATGATACAGTAATACTTGCGGATCGGCCCAAGGCTTCACTGAGCTTGTGCACTCGGATCGCACTGCAACAGTCGCACAATAGACGGGTCATTTTTTGCACCCTCTATAAATTCATCAAGTGATAATATTCCATCTTTATTCTTGTCCATTTGTAGAAATATTTTATCGGTTCTTTTTTCAGGTGTAGATTCATCTTCCGGCATTTTCATCACGGAACCTACCATTTTGTAGATTGCCTGAAATGAGTAAATACGCAATGAAAGATTGTTAATTGAAGTCGTAATATAAGATTTTTAAAATATTTCTTTTAATATAATTTTAAAAAATATATACATTAACTAATTTTTTAAGAAACTTTTTGTTTTCAATTATAAAAGAATTCGCTTAATTCAGTTGTGTCATTATTAAAACAAATAAAAATATTAGATATTTTATACGTACAGTTACAATTTCCATCATTTCTTGTCGCGAAATATAGCCGTTTCCATCAAGATCATACATGCTGAAGGCCCATTTCAATTTCTGTTCTAATTTACCATGAGATGTTACGCTCAGAGCGCACAAAAATTCTCGAAAGTCAATTGTTCCATCGCCGTTTGCGTCGAATGTTCTGAATACATGTTCTGCAAACTATACATTACATAATATGAAAAATGTGTTCAATAAATTTTAATGCTAATTTATTTTCAATATAAATCAAGAGAATGAAAAACTAATCTTTCTAATGTCGGATTAAACCAAAAATTTGTTCATTTGGTGTCATTAGAAATATTCGCTGTATAAAAGAATGGTAAAGATAACTTTATGATAATATTCTTCATAAGCACGGTATTTTGCATTTCCGTCTTTGTTTTCACACTTTCGCTTACGTGGGATACGTAGTGCATATGTAGTACTATAATATGAGAACAGAGTACGAAAAGTAATAAATACTGCTGCAACTGTTAAAATAGGATAAAGGAAGTAATAGATGTAGACTAGAAGAATTAGTGGTGGGAAAAGTTTTAATTTCTGTGAGATTATGTTTGACTGTTATATGTACCATCGCGTGTAGTGTTATTTTATGAAATTGAAAAAGTAGTATTTTACTTAATAAAATTATGTTATCCCTTTGCGGACTACGGCTGCATATATACGTCCTGCGTAAACCATCAATCTGGCTGATGAACTCATATATGCGTTCAGCGAAAACAACTGGTAAAACCGAAAGAAGTGTAGATGTGCCCAAAATTTGGCATTTTGGAGTGTTATGAACGATAATAGCGTGTAGGCAGAAATATGCGCTGACAATTTCAAACGACTATTATGACAGCGTCTCGGCCTCACGGTATGGTTGGCTTCGAACCGTCTCGTCTGTAAAGGGTTAACCTTGTTTTCTAGGTGCACCGAATTGCCAAATATTGTACCGTAGTACGTTCTCTCTTTCATGTTCCATACGGAAAACATTTTTTGCGTCCAACTTCCCATATGACTCTTCGAGTCAGCGTCTGGCAGGAAACGGCCTAGATAACCTTGCTTAACCCTTAACACTTAGGCAACCGCCTAAAAAGGACTATAACTATAACCTTCCTCTTTAACTCTAATTGAACTCATTCATCTGATTTGGTTAAAAACTTTGTTATATGAAAGCAAGAAAGGTATTTGATGAATTGTAAATAACCTTAGTTCAAGATTTACTAAATAACAAAAGAAGGAATAAACAAGATAAAAGGCAATGCGTTACTAAGTGAAAAGTGGGAGATCTCCTTATTCAGTTGGCTAAGTGTTAATATAATATAAAAACCCAAGCTGTGGTTTGGATTTACTAAAGCTAGACATTTGGAATGTGACCTTACGTGACCCCAATACTCCAAACAGGCATCCCTACATATTTTTGAGGATATAGAAATCTGTTGGTTTCTATTCTCGTTAGTTCAAAATCGTATAGTCACTCACAAGGTCACATTGTGTCACATTTCAAACACCGTGAGCCTACTGTTGCGAATTCTAAAAACGACCAATTGCTAAATACTATAAAGGGTTACCTACGACTCACTCCCATTGAATGACGATTACTAATTATATAGTGTGTTCAACAATGATTTGTTGCTAACTGGTTTGTTCGTTGACTGATTGTTAATTAAGCGATTATGTTTTAACTGATTCAAAAGTTAAAACCGAAGTCACGATGGGCATTCGACTGTCTCCACTATTTCATTTGAACTCCTTCAGATCTGATTTTTGTACAATATTATGTGTACTAATCCGACAACAAAAAATTGTTATTCAATACACAACCAGTAATGACATCTATTTTGAATAAAATATGATAGTATACTAGTTTCCTGATAAAAATAGGCTTAAAGCAAGGGTGTGTACATGGTTGCCAGTTATAATTTTGATACTTTATCATATATTGAAAGTGGTAAAACAGTGTACATTATAAAGTGCATCAAGTCTGAAGAGATTAAAATATCCATTTTTTCGGAGCAGAGGTAAACTCTATTAAGAGTATGCGGATCATTGAAAGTCACAAGAAATTTTAAAAAGGTGAAAGTAGCAGCTAGTAGCAATGTGAAAGTATTTACTCAACGTTTTGGACTTGAATCAGGTCAAACCAAGTACCTGAGACATATACACACTTGAGCGACTTGATAGTGTAGGGTAGTTCGATTATCAAGGATAGTCCAACAAATTCGTGTTAGATCAGCAAAAATTGGCTCAGGTGACTAGATGAGTTTTTCCGATATATTCGATGTTCCATTTGTACATAAAGTTATTTTAATTCATAATTTCTATATAATAATATCTTGAGATTTTCATAACATAAAAAGTTTTATATACCATGCTCTATAATGTAACGTGAGATTGTTTCGATATCTCAGATGTTTATTTTGTTATAAACATTCAGAAGCGAATTTATTTGGGTAAAAACTGGTTTTTGAATTTCAAATGCTTGCCATTTCCAAAATAATTAAAATTTCAGAAAATCTGTACCACACATTTTGGATGATATATTTGTATTTGTGAATTTACAAAAACTTTTGTCTTTGGATGTTTCAGTTGTTTGTAATCGAATCCACCAGCAACGGATGTTTTACGAAAAGGGGTTTCGAAGGTAGCGAATAACTGCGCCACTTTGTAATATCTTGGTTTAGAAAAAATATAAATATAAAGCAGATCATATTTATACACCCAGAAAAAAATTAGAATTTTTCACATAATAGTTGCACTTAATAATAAAACAAATTCCTAAAATTTACCTATGTTTAGGACGTCTCTAGATGTTACCCCCCTTAAGTAAATTATTAATTTCTTCCGAAGTAGGGCCTTGTAGCATCTAATTTTTTTTGTTTCTAAGGGAGGAAGGTTCACTCTTTAACATGGTACCCATAAAACCCGTTGCAAATAATTGCAACTTTTTAAAATTTTAAGAGACGTTCCAAGTTTTTATTAGACTTAACTTCTTTGATTTAAATATTATTTTTAAAGAACTTATTAATATTTTATCTCAATTTATTTTTGCACATATTTCACAGAACTATGAATTAAAGTTACTGAAGTTACTAAGTACCCTTGGTAAATTATGTGATTGTCCGTAGACTTTAAACATCAATAACAAGAAAACAAAAGCAACTACTGAAAAATGGATTTTATAATATTATAATACAATTATTTTTCTACCAAATCAGATGAATTTTTATTTAATTTACAACATTATGAAAATTGACTTTTGATTGCCGTCGGCCGTTTTGTTCCACTGTGCGCTGTGCCATGAAAAAACAAAAACAATATCATATTTTATACTTCATATCCATAACATAAAAATGTACCTACGTAAAACTTTAAAGGCATTTTTCTTAACCAATGTTTTTATAATTGACTGATACGATTGTTTCGGACTGACTCGCGATGTTTGCAAGTTTATGATGGCAATTGTTGACGAGCTTACTTACGGCTCATTTTGATGTGATCTCAGGTTGGAAAGTTGTAACAATTATATGTTAACGGCCAATTCTCTATATTCTACGTAAACTGTAGCAATTACTATCATGTTATTAATGTTTTTTAGTTGTTACCGTAGAACTATACTAACTATACTTCGGATGAAATGAATAGTTTTATTTAACCCTTTCATTCCAGAGCAAATATGCGAGTGTGCGCTTTGCTTGTACGGGAAACCCTGCTGTTTGAATGTAGTTTTTAATAATTGGTATATTTATATTGTTATAAAATAAACATATGAATGTTAACGAAAACAAGATTTATCACGTTGACACCGGCATGTACCACTAGTGGTTACTTCGATGTTACATCCGACAGCATGTAGGGTAGAGTGGGGCTAAAAGTTCCGTTTTTTATATAAATATATGTAAAATTTAGTAATAACGATCTGGAGATGTCTTTTTAATCCTTCGTAAACTATAACTATCGTATTTTACTTTTACATCAGTGTTTGATTCATACTGTTATTCTTTATTGAGTTATAGTATAAAATGTTTATTAATTCAAAATGGTCCATACACGGGGCAAAAAGTCCCTAACACTTTGTAACTGGTTCTTCATGTAACATAAAATTAAGTAAGAAATTCTGTTCTTATTAACAAATATATATTAAATAAATCTTTTTTACATATACGATTAATTTTCTATTACTTATTCTCTAGCTACTGAACGTAATTTGATTTTGTTCTCTATTATCCTTTTTGCAACGTATTTCATTATATTTAACAGTTTAATGCCGCGATTAGTTTGTATTTTATGGTGCAGCACTCTAATAAATGGATTTTAAGTGAAGGAACAACCTCTATGTGGAGTAATAAGCTCCAATAAGGGACTTTTTGCTCTGATGGTACTTCCATAGTTTTTCCGATATATACATTGAAAAAAGGTATCAATCAGGAACAAATTGGAGCATGTACAGATTACTAAATTAAAAGTAATTTATGGAGAATAAACACAGAATCGTTGTACAAGTCGTAAAAATGCTTAAAATCAAATGCGAACGCTTCCAATGTTTTCTAATACCTGTTGCTGACTGAATTGTGTAATGCGATACTCAGTCAACTAATAAACAAATAATTATTTTCAATTCGGGACTTATTACCCGTCGGACTTTTAATACCACTTTATCGTACGCTCAAATATGTAGTTTGTTAAATTTTGTAGTTCGTTGGTTTGACAGACTAAAAAAATGGAGAAGTTAATTAAATTAAACTTATTGATTATTTCAATAATTTAACAAATTTTAAGAATATTGTCGCCAGATGGGCAAAAACGTAAATTACAGTTGCGACTGTACTTATACAATAGTTCATTTCCGTGAGAAAAGACTATAATTTTCAGTTTTGGTGGGTCAAAATGTGTTGAAAATCATAAATTTAAACCAAAAATTGTTTTCCCTGATACTATAGTACAGTCAATAATATTCTCCAAAAAGTTGAATATTTAATTGTAAATTAAAACAGTTTTCAAAAATTACTGGCATACCTTTGAAGCGTCACCGTAAGGGAAGAAATTTCCATATATCTTCTTAAATTCTTCTACACTAAGATGTCCACTTGGGCAGTCCTTTAGGAATCCTTTGTACCACTCTTGAATTTCCGCATCTTTAAACAGAAATTAACTAAACTGAATTACGACATCACACAAAGCTAACTGATGTATTATGAACACGTAGTAATCCTTGATCTCATTTAGCCATTTCACGTTCCTCGTTAGCGAGTACTCATTTCGACTTGCAGAATTCTTTATATACAATGATAATAGTATTCAACAATAATTGAATGTAAATTAATAATTCAACAGAAAGAGCAGAATTTGTCAGTAACAGATTCATTTATTAGCTAATTTTATTAAAAAATATTTAAAAAACTTTTGAATTAATTTATACGAAAAACGTTATACAAAAAATGACAATTAGCCGTATAAAGTTACCGTTTTAACGGTTTTCATTCAGATTTATAAACAAACAAGATTTAAATAGACAACAAGAGATTTGTGGGCAGTACAAATTTTAAAACGGAATGCACATAATTTGGTCATTGTCAGTTATATTACAGGAAATATAATTGTAGGCTATGTAATACTATAAAATAAAATGATTTTGGAAAATAAGGAAAAGAGTAATAATTTTGTATTTAAATAATAATTCAAAACAATTTTGAAAAATGAATTTCTATAAAATCTATTTAACACTAGAACAATTAAAATAACGGATTGTCTGCAGAATCCAATAGTCCATAGCAAATTCATGCTAGCTAACTCACTTTTGGTAGAAATGTAACAGTAGTGCGTACAAAGTACGAGTACCTACCCTTTTTTAAACTATGATCATCATTTACAAGCATTTAATGACACGCAATATTCAAAATTTGTATAGCTACATATTTGGGCAACTCTCCTCTATTTTTTACGACAAATTTTAACTGTCTATCGTTTTTAGTTTTCACGTGACACTTGTTTCACTGAAAAATTCGAACGTTTTTACAAAAACCCATTTTTTTTCGAAAACTGGACGTGACCCAGCAATTTGGTTTTCGTATTCGTATTTAGGGTAAGCAACTCTATGAGAATCGCCTAGTGATTATTGCAAGACACAAGAAAGGTTCAAATTTGTTCCGCAGTGTAATAAGAGTTATTGAGAATTTTCTTGAACATTTGGAGTTATTTCCATCGTTATTCCATTTTCCTATTTTTTTCTATTTTGAAAAATTTAATTTGTTATTTTATTATATAAATAACACGATTCTTTGATTATTCAAGAAAAGTATTTGATGTGTTTAACACTAACAAAGTATATTGTATATAAAGGTTACGACTCACCCGTAAATTCAGTATTTTGTTTGAGATCTTCTAAGACTTCTGGTTTTAGTTTGCTGTTCTGCTTTCCCATGGTTGTTCGATGTTTCTTTCAGAAGATCAGGTTTTCAACAAGTGTCGTTAGTAAATTAGCAAATTATTAGATGCTAACTAATCTACTGTTCTACTGGAACCGCTGAGTGAAGCACGTGTCGTTGGTATTTTAGTTTGTGCTTCAAATACGTCTGGAAAAGAAAAAAGATGTGAGTGTGTGTAGCTTATAATAACGTTGGTATTCATTAAAATGGTTTTATTGGACACGCGAATTTTCAAGATATTGCTTTTATAATATAAAAGTAACATGCAGACAATTCGTATCATTAATTCAATAAAAGTTCAAGTAAAAAAAATTATTTTCCAGGAAAATATTATGTGATGCACGCAATTGAAAACGTCTAATTTTATCAAGTACAAAATTTTAATTAACAATCGATTAGGATAGAACTTTATATTATTTTCAAATTTGTGTTTTGATTTACAAAATATAAATATTTAACATTTTGAGCAACAATGACTGTCCACTTGAGTATTGTTAAAAAAATTTAAGTTCCATACGAAAGATTCTTTACATCGTTGCAGCTGAATAAGATATTTGACCGGATTATTTTACTTCTCATTTTTTTCATTTTTCACGTTTAGACACATGTCTTATGTACGTATGAATCCACGAGTAGAATAAATAGTAATTTTGTCCTAACAAAATCATTAACTACAAAGGCAACGCTAAAAAGGTTCATAATATTGATGATCAATTAGACAATTCTTACTTGAAATTATTATTTGCTATTAGATAATGATATTGTTTTATATTTATCTTATAATTATTTAATAATATATTTTTGAACTAATATTGTGTGAAATTATTTTAGCATTTCCGAATAAATAGAATATTCTGTTGAAGTTCCTTCTGCGTACAAAAAAGATGTTTGTTAATCTTTAACAAAGAAATTGTGTTAATCGTTTCTTTCAAGATACATAAGAATAAATTACATTTAATTCTGTATTTTAAGACCAAATTTTCAGTTTTTTTATTAATAAAATCTAGTAAGGAAAGTTATATAATTCGGAAATTCTAGTACTGTGTACACAGTTTGTTTCATGTAACAAAAAACATTTATTTTGATCAGGTGTACACAAAATAGAAGTAACAAAAATTCGAAAAATAGTTTGTTTTTACAACAAAGCTAAGATCATATGATATTTTTCAAGTAGGATTAGATACTTTTTGTCTGTTACAGTATAGAAGACGTAAAGATGAATTAAAAAATCGTATAACTTTATATTTCTGTATACACGATATACGCATTCGTTGCCTTCTATTTTTGAAGAGTATGAAGATATTAGACTTTAATTTACTGAATGTAAACATAGAACGTTGTGTAGGAGACATTATTAATGAAATAGTACAATGTAAAATAAATAAGTATTAAATATAAAAACCATTCAATACGTGTTTAATGTGTAATTGTAATATTTTGTTCTTTTGTAGAACGTCAAATACATTGCTTTCATTGAATAGACTGGATTCACGTCTCTATATCGTGTAAGAATTTATGTAATAAATTATTTAATCATTTTTTCTTACAAATCTTCAATATCGTAAGTTACCAATTTACGATTGAATAGCAGATTGCGATATCCTTATAAAGAAAATTTTGTAGAGACAAGTGTGGCTATTATATTAATCCATTTATGATAATAATGCAACTTTTAACTGTAACACTCAAATAATCTTGCACTTATCGCAAATTATGAACCAGATAACTAATCTGATGAAAGTATATTTCTCTTTTTATATTAGGGGAATGTGTGGCAAGATGAGCATGCTAGGTAAGACGGGGCAATCGTTTATTTCATGTTACTATGCATCCATGTTACTAAAAATAAAAAAAAGACATTGATTACATAATAACTGATTCGGTGCCACTAGTTACAGTCAGCTTATTTCGTTCTTGTGCGTTTGTCAATTATAATTCTGATTGTTACATTTGTGATCTAATTCTTTGACGTGTTTTAAATGATAACAGACCAGTAATAATTCTCAATTGTATTGTTACTTTACTACCATCAGATAAGTAATTTCATAAGGTTTTTATTCATGTATTTATGAACATCAATCGTAAACAAATAATGATATTATCATTCAATTAATTTTGATCTAACGTTTGGGGCAAGATGAGGACATTCTTGTAACGCCACTTAATTTTTTAATAAAATGATTCCAATGTAGAAAAGAAAAACAGAAAAACATAGTTGCTTCAAAAAATCAATGTAGAAGGCTGTTAAAACAGTTATAAAGTTTATATAGTGGAGGAAAATGATTATTTATTGAGAAAATCCTTTATAAAAGTGTTTAAGGATAGTTCAAGATTCTTCAAAACTGAGTTTTCAATTAATACCACGCTTGTGTATGGAATGTGCAAATAGATGCGTCCCAACTTGCCCTGTACACAGAACAAGATAAAAATTTGTAGTTATTTTCAAAATTATTTCTTTGTACTTCAGCCATTAAGTTTTATAAATCAATTTTAATATATTTTTATAAGCGTATATTAATAGTATAGACGGTATTATTTACAGATACAAAATCAATTAACATAAAATTATATAGCCACTTTTGCTTAACGTTCCCGTCTTGCCTTACCTTCCCCTACTTGAAATATCCTACATTAACTGTGGAAGATTTTCAGGTATCTTTGTGTTCTTAAACTTACTATATTTTGATGCTTTTTCATTGAAAAATATGAAAACATTAAAGTAATCAGTCAAAGAGACTGGCAAAAAGTTGTTGAAAGAAATGAAATATTTTATCAAGTACTTATTTTTATTTAATAATAAAACGCTCTTTAATTTATAAAAATTATTGCTCTTCGAATTAGTTTTAATGTCTCTTGCACAGTCTTCAGTATAATGGAAAAATATATCTGATCTTAAAGAATGCAAGATAACTTTAGTTTTACTTTTGAAGTTAACTATTTCCGAAATTTTTAGTATCGCTATTTGCTGTACACTCGATACGGATAAATTTTTGTTTGAAACATTTTTTGTTAGATCCAATCGTGGTTTGTTATTTAACCGCAGATGGTTAAAAAATCGTGAAGTACACATATATTCTGTACTGAGAATAATGCAGTATTAAGGGATTCAAGATAAAATCAATCCGTGAAGTTTTAATGTATCTCCAATTATTAAGTATAACGTTGAAATACTACAAATGTTTATGTTCTTTCATCCTGTTATAAAAAATTTGTCAATCCTGTGTACTTTTAATGTGAATGAATTCTATTAGGTTCACATGCACTAGTTCTTATCACTAATTGTTACATACGATTTTCCATACAATGTACAACACCTATCTTGTTTGTAAACGATACCTACACGATATTTACCAGTTCAAGAAAGACCAGGAAAATACTTTATGTTCTTTTAATCGGAGTGAAATGAACATATACAAAAAGTCTTTTGTGACCTTTGTGTTTGATAATAAAATATTGTTCATAAAATCTAGTTTTCATTTTTCTTGAATTTAGTAACTGATTGATATATATATCATGTAGGTATTCTTAGTAAACTAAATAGGCGTTGTACGTTGCACGAAAAATTGTATCTTATTCGTAACCGTGTGTGAACATAGTAAATTTTCAAATTCAATTTTTTCCAAAATTAAATGCAAGAAAGAATAACTGTATAGAATGAATGGAAAGAATGGTCATATATAATGAATTTATGTTCTTATGTTCTGTATCATGTTCTTTTATACTTTCATAGATTCATCAAAATGATAAAGTTTTATCTAATAATTATTATTACCTTTCACTATTAAAAATTAATATGCAATATGATAAAATGATTTGTTTGTTTTAAATTTTCATGTTGTCGACAAATTTTTTATTACAGTAGTAAAACAGTGTTTAAACAGTTCATACATTAAACATTTTGTTTTGTTTCGTAGCATTATAGAGTGATAATTAAGTACTAAAAAATGTGAAAACTTTGAGGATATATTACATTTCACCAAAGTGTTTTTTCGTTGAAAAATATTGTTCCTTGAATGCTCAATTTTACTGTGCTATTCTTTAAATTTAATTACAAACAAAGTTTTGAATTGCGTGACTCCTTGTAAGTAAATATAAAGTTTCATTTTGTAAGGGATATTTTGCAGATACGTATTATATATACTTCATTTGCTTAAAGATAACATGATTTGTTACTAGCATCAAAACCGCTAATAACGAACGCTAAAAATGAACGTGACTTAATTTAAGAAAATGCGATGTACATATGAATTATATATTGAATGATTTTACATTTAACTGTCTATATTCTTTTGAAATTAATTCACTAAAATTTATATAATTAAGTATTTACAAATAGTATATGTACCTCATTATCGATTTAAGAAAATAGGTGTTAATAATTCGTAGTAGTATCGATCCAATACAGGCATATTCGAGTGTAAATATGTTTTGTGTTTATTGAGAATCACTTCGTTTAAAAACGAAAATTTATTAATAGGAAGTATAGCTTTATTTTATCCATTAAATTAATGATTTATAAAAAATTCCGTTTGGAGTCGTTTTACCTTGAATAATTTTTTTATATATAGAGGATAATTGCTTTCGTACCTACACAAATAATAACATTGTTAAAAAAATGTTAACCTCTTTTTAATCTTCCAAAATTCAAAAAGTAATTTTTGTAGATTTTCGTGTATCAAATATCAAACTGAAGTTCGTTTATCTCTGGCATATATAAATTTAATTTTAAAAAGAAATCAAATTTTTCACGATAAAAATATGTCATATTCTAATTGCAAAATGTCTACTACTTATTTATAGAAAATCATTTTGTAGGCCTCTCCAAATAAAATGATAGATCAAATGATTTCAGAATATTTTGAAAAATAAGCCTGTGAGACAATATTTAATTACACTGTATAATAAAGTAGAACCTGTTTCTATGGAAATTATCAAAGAATATTCCCTGGGTAGAAAACACAGATTCAACATTTCTATGATAAAATAAAATACGTAGTTTTGTAAGACACAAAGATTCATTAGTCATTTCTCACGCCAGCGATCATTTCACACTCCCCTCAGCGTAATGCTTTTCCTTTGAAGAAAACAGTGTTATAAAACGCTCGAGTCTTCGAAGCTTCGAGCTTTAACTTTAAAGGCTCAGTCTT